TAAGGGGCCAGTGACATCGATTTGGCAAAGAAGAAAGGCATGAAGATTGGAATGAGGGAGGTCTGTTTGTTCAAAGAGACCCCTAAACAAATCTGAGCCTACAGAGAAGGTGGGCGAGTGGAGAAACATTTGAAACATTTGAAAAGTAAAACAAAAGGAGTCTAATTACTAAAGCCCAATCCTCCGGGAGGCAGGAAGAAGGAACTGAAGAAACAAGACCTTGCAGTTTACCTGGGGAGAGGAAGACGCTCCTGGCCCTGTTGGGACCTCCTGCTGCTGCTTCTGGAGACCCCCCATTTCCCCCACCCCCACCTTTGCCTCGTTCCATTCAAGTGGTTATTGTTGGGACTGAAAAAAACAAAAAAAGAAAAACAGCCTCACTGCCATTGAGTTGATTCTGACTCATAGGGACCCTACAGCGTAGAAGTGTCCACCCCACCCCCAGTGGTTTTCCAAGGCTATAAATTCTTTACAGGAGCAGAAAACCTCATTTTTCTCCCAAGGATTGGCTAGTGGGTTCAAACTGCTCACCTCATGATTAGCAGCCGAATGTGGAAGCCACTAGGCCACCAGGGCTTCCACTGTAAAGACAGTCATGGTACTAGACTGTGGTCCGATGCTGTGGCTAGTGTTCATTGGTCTCTCCCCAAATTGCCTTCTCAGAATGCATCCGTGGGAATTTGGAATCAGAATTGAGCTAGCTCAGCTCCATCTTTCTCCTGGAATGGAGGAGACATAACCTTGGGTGCCAGTGGCCAAAATGACAGGGTGAGTGTAGGAACAGGCAGGGCTAGCCAACAGTGAGAGAATCTGGAAGCCCTGCAGACTGAGGAACGAATGCGAAAGCACTTAGAGGCCCTTGACTCTTTTCCCCAAAGTGTGAAAATTCTAAAACATTTCACCTGAGAAGTATTTGCTGGTTTCCCAAAATTAGTAGACACACAATAAGGACTTAGAGTTATGTTCACATGCAGAAGCAAACAAACCCGACTGACTCTGTTTTAAGGAAGAGCAACTTGAAGGAAACTTTGAAAGGATTCGGAGTAACATTTTACTTGATTTCATTTTTTAATATGGAACGCTTCCTGAATTTTCATGTCATCCTTGTCCAGGGGCCATGCTAATCTTCTCTGTCTCGCTCCAATATTGGTCTATGTGCAGCCGAGGCAGCAGTGGAGGGGCAGGTTAGAGGGCCGTTTGGTCTTCTCCTTGTACATACCAAGGGATAGAAATGTTTCATGGGCTTTCATAAAGGAAGCACTGCTCCCCCTCCCTTATACAAAGAGCCCCAGGGAGGTGTCTAAATTGGGAGAGGGACAGCATGCCAGAATCTGCTACAGAGATGTCCTCCCTTCCTCATTCTCCAACACCTACTTGAGTCCTGAAGACGAGACAAAACAACAATCCCATTGCCATCAAATCGGAGTGACCTATGCAGGCTTTCCAAGATTGTAAATCTCTACTGGAGCCGATAGCCCCATCTTTCTCCTACAGAGTGGCTGTTGCTTTTGAACCACAACCTGAAAAATGCCAACAACAAAAAACCTCACTGTCATCGAGTTGACTCTGACTCAGCAACTCGAGGAGCAAGTAGAACTGACAACTGGGTTGCCAAGGCTGTACATCTTAATAAGGGCAGAAACCTGCCGTCTTTCTCTTACGGAGCTGCTGATGAGTTCAACCTGGTAACCCACTGCCACCAGCACTCCTTAAGGCAAGACCAGCCCTGTCCTATTGCTTTGTATCTTTCCTACCCTCTGCCCCACACCAAGGAGCTTTGGGGGTGCTCTTGGTTAAGTGTTGGACTGTGAGCTTCAAGGTGGGAGGTTCAAATCCAGCAGTCCCTTCCCCAGAGAAAGATGAGGCTACCTGCTCCCATAAAATCTGGGAACCCCTGTATAGGGTCACTATAAATCAGAGTGGATTAGATGGCGGTGGGGTTCATACCCAAGTTGACCCTTATGCCTTAAGTCTTTTAGGCATGGCCAGATAGTTGGGACTTATTTTAATCCATTCTGAGAGTCTCATGTAATTAGTATATGTTGATAGTTTAAGTAATTATATTTTTATATATATTAAAAATACATAAAATTGTTGATAGTTTAATTAATTGTAAATTAATTTTATTTAATAATCATTAATAAAATTATTGTAATAAAATAAAATAATAAGAACTAATTCTGCCTTTTAATTTTTGTTTATTTTTATGTTTATTCTCTATGCTCTTTTCTAGTTATGGTCTTCTTGTTGGTTACAGGAATATTTTTTAGAATTCTATGTAGTTTTATTTACCTCTTGTGCTTTTGGAACAAGCTCTTTGCTTAGCTTCTACAGTGATTTCCCAGGATATGATTATATTGTACTGTGTCTATAGAACTCATTGCAGTGTACTTGCTACTGTTGTTAGGAGCCATCGAGTGCCAACCATAGTGACCCCATGTAGACCAGAACAAAACACTGCCCGGGCTTGAGCCATCCTCACCATTGTCTTTACGAGGGAGTTAACCACCCCTCCTTAAAAAAAATGGGAAAAAGCTCCACTTGGCAGAGCTTTCATAGTTCGCATTTTTCCCACTAGGCAAGCATCCAGCAGCTCGCTCCGAGTTAGTGCACCCAGTGGCATCACCTGGGAAGCTTCTCTGGTGACAGTGAATTTTTTCATAAAAGCAGTTTCACTCAAACCTGGTTTTGTTGTGATGGCTGATTTAAGAGAACAGCATGTGGCTGTGAAATTTTGCTTCCTGCTCAGGGGAAAATGCCACAGAAACTGTTTTGATGTTGAACATAGCTTACAAGGACCGCGCTATGGGAAAAACTCATGTAGGAAAGGTTTTCTCGTTTCAAAAGAGGTGAAATGTCGATTGATGACAAACCTCATTTGGGAAATCCATCAACTTCCTGAACAGATGAAAATGTCGACTGGTAGTACATTTGGAGTTCGTTCCACCAGGTCGACTGTTAATCGAGCTTTCGAGTTAGAGGGTCTGAAAAGATAGTGTAAAAATGTATGACCAAAAAAAAAACCTGTTTGTGGCAGACAAGGTACTGGTTTTGCCACCATGACAATGCACCTGCTCATGCAGCCATCTAGTGCACCAGTTTTTGGCAAAAAAACAGCATGCTTCTCTTGCTCCATACACCTGACTCACCTGACCTCACTCTGTAGGACTTCTTTTTGTTTCTGTGAATGAAAAGGGACATAAAAAGATAGCAATTTGATGACATAGAAGAGGTGAAGAAGACAACAAGGGAAGTACTGTCATCCAGCCAAACAGATGAGTTTGAAAAATGTTCCCAAGAAATCGCTTTTCAGCCTTTTGGCTAAGATCAAGTGAAAAATGTTTCCAAGAATGGAATCGCAGAGTTGACAAATGTAAAAAATTTAAATACATAGCATTGAAAAAAAAATCCCAGTTTTTTGGGGGGTACCCCCTCAGATGCTTTGCCCACTGATGCAGCCACTGTGCCAGTACACCTAGCCCAGGGCTTCCTCTTTTCACTGTCTTCCTACTTTACCAAACACCATGTCTTTCTTCAGCGACTGGTCTCTCCTGACAACATGTCCAAAATATAGAAGACAAGATCTCACCATCCTTGCCTTTAAGGAGCATTCTGACCGTCCTTCTTCCGGGACAGATGGGCTTGTCTTTTTAGTAGTCGATGGTACTTTCAATAGTCTTCTCCAGCACCCCAATTCAAATGCATCTATTCTTCTACAGCCTTCCTTGTTCCTAACTTTCACACACATGAGCCATATGAAAATGTCATGGCTTGGATCAGGCGCACATTAGTCCTCAAAGTAACATCCTTGCTCTTCAACACTCTAAAGAGGTCTTGTGCAGCAGATTTACCTAATGCAATGTGTCTTTTGATCTCTCGTCTGCTGCTTCCATGAGGATTGATTGTAGACAAAATCCTTGATCATTGCAACCTTATCTCCATTTAGCATGATGTTATCTATTGGTCCAGTTGTGAGGATCTGGGGTCTTCTTTACATAGCGCTGCAATCCATACTGGCATTACAATCCTAATCTTCATCAGCAAGTGCTTCAATTCCTTCTCACTTTCGACAAGAAAGGTTGTATCATCTGCGTATCACAGGCTGTTAATAAGACTTCCTCCAATCCTGATGCACACTCTTCTTCACATACTAATGTGTTCATGTTACCTGTGTGAGTGCAACACTGAAACTTTGTCTCTTTTAATCACTCTACCAGTCCGCACCTATGATATATTTCTTCTCGTGTTTTTTCTTTAGCGGCAGCACCACACCAGACCGTGGAATCGCGTGTGCCCCTCCCTCCGGTCTCACCGACGTGGAAACTGTTGCCGTTGCCTCTTTCTGTGCTGTCTTCCCTCCAGCTCCTCTCGGGGGCCTTCTACATCCTTTTCGTTTCAAGGACTCGCTGTCGCCACCGTTCTGTTAAGACTGGCCTACTTCTCTCTTATCTGACAATGTCTTGATTTCCTTTTCATCCCCGAAGCTTCTTTTTAGCATCCAGAGTTAGCGCTTTCTTTGTGCACACTTGAAAGGTCCTGGGCTCTTTCTTTCTTGCCTCCAGGGATTATGATGAGAAATTGGCTGGCATCCAAATTCCTTTCCTGTCTCGGCAAGGTGCATTTTTCTGGGGTGACTTTTAAGGGTTTCTGTTTTGCTTTGTTTTTCCCTACCTGAGGCTGGGGACATTGACTAAGGAAGACCGTAGAAAATTCGATGTCTTTGAATTGTGGTGCTGGCGAAGAATATTGAAAGTGCATTCTAATTGATTAAAAAAAAAAAAAGAAAGTGCATTCTATGGACTGCTTAAAGGGCAAACAAGTCTGTCTTGGAAGAAGTCGGGCCAGAGTGCTCCTTAGAGGCAAGGTTGGTAAGACTTAATCTCGAGTGAGGTAAACACTCTAAAATTAGAATGCAATAAGGGTTGCCCAACACTTGAGAATATACTAAAAAATACCCAAAGGTACATGTGAAGTTGGTGAATTTGCATGCTTTGTGAAGTGTACACCAATAACCTGTTGAAAAAATACACATTCAGAGGGAGGTCAGCAAACAATGGTGGCAGCAATGGGAGACTCTAGGAGAATTCGATAGTTAAAGGCGACAGCAGTTACTACTGTCCTACACCCAGCCCTGCAATAGCAGTTACTACTGTTCTACACCCAGCCCTGCAACAGCAGTTACTACTGTCCTACACACAGCCCTGCAACAGCAGTTACTACTGCCTTACACACAGCCCTGCAACAGCTGTTACTACTGCCCTACACACAGCCCTGCAACAGCAGTTACTACTGCCCTACACACAGCCCTGCAACAGCACTTACTACTGCCTTACACACGGCCCTGCAACAGAGGTTATTACTGTCCTATACTCAGCCCTGCAACAGCTGTTACTACTGCCCTACACACAGCCCTGCAACAGCTGTTACTACTGCCCTACACACAGCCTGCAACAGCAGTTAATACTGCCCTACACCCAGTCCTGCAACAGCAGTTACTACTGCCCTACACCCAGTCCTGCAACAGCAGTTACTACTGCCCTACACCCAGTCCTGCAACAGCAGTTAATACTGCCCTACACACAGCCCTGCAATAGCAGTTACTACTGTTCTACACACAGCCCTGCAACAGCAGTTACTAGTGTTCTACACCCAGTCCTGCAACAGCAGTTACTACTGTCCTACACACATCCTGCAACAGCAGTGGAAACATCTCAGAGCTGGCAGGGCTCTCCACATGGCTTCTCCAGCACCCAGGGCTGCATCAGGGTAAGTTCCTGTGGTTTCTCCTCGGGGATGTCGAGAGTTTCCAAAGGAGTGAGCAGAGAGAGTATCTCCCACTTCCAAGGAGGAAATCCTGAAAGAAAATCTTAGCAGCATGTAAACCACGAGTCCACAGGACCAATGGACCAGGCAGCATCAGTCTCCAGCACCCTCAGACCAGAACAAGATGGCACCTGGCTACCACTTCCAACCACCCTGAAAGGGAGCACATTAGAAGATCCTGGAGAAAATGTGAAACATAATTCAAAATCGTAAAAGAGACCAGGTTTAGTGGTCCGACAGAGACTGCTGGAACCAATGCAATTATAGCCCTTCATCACCCTTCAGGTCTGGAAATGGACTCACCCCTGTGCCTCAATTTCAGGGCACATTAACATGCATGAGGCGTGCA